TATATATATATATATATATATGTACACACATACCCTTTCACCTTATTTTTCTTTATGAAAATACAATAAATTTGATATTACATTGAGAATAATATCATAATACACTTAGAATGCCAAGAAATAAAAGTCCATTGAGTGTCATGAATTCACTAAATATTATCGAGTAAAACTGAGTTGTAAGTTTTTAAATGCAAAGTAAAATATGAAACTTGGAGAGCTTTCTTATTTTCAGGTAAAGTAGATAACTATCATAATTACCTCATTTGACTCACAATTTTAAACTTTGTTCTCAGCTATTCTGAAATTTGAAAATACATAGAGAGACCCCAGAGCTAAGTCATATGATTGTTGGAAAATCAGATTATTGATTGTATCACTTTTCAAATAAGGGAAACGAAGCTCTAAAATGACAGGTCAGAAGGTCTATGATTAGGGTCAAAACCTTGAAGAGAATTAAGTCTTTAAAATCCACATAAGTATATAAGAAGTGTGTAGACCTGCTTTCTGGGATTTCTAGATGCGATGGCTCCCATCTAGATGTCCCTGCAAAACCTGTGCACTCACAAGTGGGGCTTTTGGGAGGTGCTGGATCGTGGGAGTGTGACATTCATCGGTGGCTTGGTCCACTGTTGGTTTAGAGCTAAATGTGACACTGGGAGGTGAAATCAGCCAGAAGAGATGGGTCCTGGGGGGTGTGGCTTGAAGGGTCTATCTCTTCCTCTTCCCTTGACTGTTCTCTGCTTTCTGCTGCCATGTCATGAGCTGCTCCCCCTCTGCCATGCCTCCGTGCTTTGGAGCCAGCCGACTATGGACTGAAACCTCTACACACTGTGAGCCATGATCAACCTTTTCTTCTTTTAATTGTGGATTCTGAGTATCGTGTCTCAGCAACAAGAAGGTAACTAAGACAGCGGACTCTAATCCCCTGCACCACTCTGACATGGGTCTTTTCTACTGCATCTCATCTGTTCACTTTGATTCTGTTCTTAGTGCTATTTTGACTTGCTCAGTTTTGTTCCATTTGAATGAGGGCTGCTGTCCAGAAAGGCATCCTGATGGGTCAACTTGGAGTCTCAGCATCACAGAACTCACAACGATTCCTTGGACGGATTTGTCTTCAATGTGAGTAAAACCCACCCTTGTGTTGGCTGACATGCTTAAACCACCCGGCCCCATCATATTTTCCAGGGAGGATCTGTTGACTCTCGTTTCTACTGTCCTCCTTTTCTTGACACAAAAAGCACACAGGTCTTGGTGCTCTCCGTGGTTTGGCCCTATTGTTTAGTTTGGATTTATAGGGGTGCACTTTACTTAATTTTGCTGTGTAAGTTTTCCATCACCAGTTGACTTCACTACCTAGGTCCTCTGGCAGTTCTGATGTATGGACTTGAGGAAAACCAAAAGCTGTCTGTCACTACCATCACCGTCATTCAATGGTTTGTGTGTGTGTGTGTGTGTGTGTGTGCCTTTTAAATAGCTTCATGGATTTATAATTTACATGTCATGAAGTCTGGCTATAATATATTTATAAAGCTGTGCTACAGTGACTATAAGTGACTGTAATTTTAGAGTATGTCCATCTCCCTGTATAAAGAGACCACATATCAATCAGCAACTACTCCCACCTCCATTCCCTCAGCCCTAGGTATGTATTATTCCACTCTCTGCCTCTATTTATTTCCCTATTTTGAAAATTCCTTGTGTGTGATAATTACACAATTTGTGCAGATTTTACGGTGCTCTTGGCAGAATATGACAGAAATAAAAATCAAGTCACTGTTGAAGTTCTTCACCTCAACTTGGAAATGGCAGAAATTACATAAAACATTTTGTGATGATACATTCATGTATTATTTCAAGTTGGTTTCCAAATACAGAGCAATGCCCATCATTTGAGAACAATTGTGTTAATAATGATGGCAACTGTATTGATAAAAGGCAGGACAATAGCTTACTATGTACTAATTCTATTCTAAGCATTTGATATATATTAACTACTTAACATTCACAGAGACCTAGAAAGGAGATATTATGTTTATCATCTCCATTTTACTGATGAAAATGGAGGCCAAGTAAAATGACAGTGTTTCCCTAACCTACATGGCAGACCTGGATTTCACATTCAGGGAGTTTGACTCAAGACTCAAGACAACCACTAGACTGAGGTTCTTCTCCTAGTTTTAAGTGTTTTGCCACATCCCACTATCTTCTCATCTGACCACAGTAGAAAATAACTCTGGCCACATCCTTTAAGCTCCTGCTCACCGCCTGTCTTACACACAGCGCTGAGGTTTTATTGACATACAATTCAAACTAAGATTTACAAAATCATTATTAGTTCTCTGAATTTTAAAATTTTCTCCATTTACAGAATAAATTGAAAATTTTACTAATGTATAGCAACCTGGGGTTTTTAAAATCCAATGGCTAGTTTTTCCTAAAGTGCAATCAATATAGTTGATCCTATCCAACTACAATTGACTACAAAATGCCTCTTTGATGACACAGAAAGATTATATATCTATATATGTTATATATAGATATATATGTATAACACTATATATATAGATATATCTATATATATATATATATATAACTGAATATAAAATTACAGTATCACTATATTGAGTTGATTTGGACCAAATTAATTCATAATCATGCAAATTCTCAAAGGATTTGAAAAGAAGGAAGGGAAGAAGTAGTACAAATTTCTACACGAAAACAAGAGAAATTGTATTACTGCATAAACTCTCCGTTCCCTTCTGTCTTGAATCGACCAAGAGAACAATCATTCTGCTTCCCGAGAGGATGGAATTTCTCATTTTATAAGAGCTTATTTCTTTCTAAAATCTTGTAAAAACTTCTGAAGATGCTTTTTACCTTTTCAAGTTGCCAAAATCATTTTTAGGTTGAGTTTCAAACTATAATAGAAAATCAACAGATTACTAGGAAATTTACCAGGAAGGAGTTTAAGAACTACATTCTCATATCTACAGTTCCCCTTTCACAGGAGCAGAACCCTATTTTCTTGAGGCACCTTTTTCCCAACACCTCCAAGCTCAAATCAAACTCTGTCTTCTATATGGCACAGATCCTAGGAACTATGTATTCCCTAGGTCATACAGAGTACATAAATTGTGATTTTATGTAACATATATAATGTAACTGAATAGCAACCATCTTTTTTAGAAACCAAAGGAAAAATAAAACTGTAAAAGATTTATTTCTATCCAAGCAGAATCCTTTGAAGCTGCTCTACACATAAAAAGAGCAGATGCTATAACAGCACCAAAACCAAAGTCACATTTTTGAACTGCCTCAGTGAAATGATATTTTAATATGAGAGCAACAATAAAATTAAATAGCACTCAGGTTTAGCTCTTTTCTCCCAGAGGCTTGCTGCCAAGTGAAACCTTATAGAAAACCACAGAAGGCATATCTTTCACTGGCAGTGTACATCCTGCAGGACTATTCTGGAATCAAATGGAATAATTCCTCTGAAAGAATGTGATAAACTGTAAAACTGTACAAATACATTTAATAATTATTTTTGACATTTCTGGAGATTTTTGTAAGGAAGATCTAAGTGTAGCTATACTTCACATTTAGAAGCACGATAAAATACAACAATGTTTTTGTTACTGCTCACAAGCTGGAGTAGGATTTTTAAATCTTCTAAGTAAAGCTCTCAATACAAGTTCTGCTTGACTTTACCTGTTTGAAATTATTTTTCAAGTAGGCACTAAAAGCAGCGTCTCATCTTTTTTACTGGTTCTTTTCTCATTAAATTAGAGAAATACTTGCAAATCTTATGCTTCCCTTTTACATTGTGTTTAAAAATAAATGCAAAGTGGAATACTTCTACAGCTTAGAAAGGAAATGGTGAGGAAAAAGAAAGGAGTTACTTTTGCAGTTGAAGAAAGGGGAAGATGCTGTTGTGATCTGAACACTGAGGTCCCCCTCAGATTCACAGGCTGACATTTTAACCGGCAAGGTGATGTCAGCAGATAAGTTTTTGGGGGAACAAAGCCCGTGGTGGTGAAATCGATGCCCTAAAATAGACCAAAGGGAGCTCATTTGTCCTTTCACCTGCAGGAGACACAGCCAGAAGGTGTTATCTGTTAACCAGAAAACAAATCTTCATCACGCACTGAACGGGCCAGCACCTTGATCTTGAATGTTGCCTCCTCCAGAACCGTGTGAAATAAATTTCTGTCGAGTACAAACCATTCATTCAGCTTACAATACGTTGTCACTACAGCCCAAAGAGACCAAGACAGGTCTTTTCCATTCACACAGATTTGTAATTTAAACAATTATGGAATTTTACTTTTCACACTATTTGTGTGTCCGTGTGGACATGAGGCACATAACTGTAGGGCATTTTACAAATACACAAGAAAGATAAAAATGGCCACGTTGGAAATGCGCTTCCAAAGGAGACTACTTTCCAGACACTTACCAGTTGTGCAATTTCTAAACTCTACATCATCAATTGCAGCTCCTCCTCCAAGATCTCTTGTCCTGATACCTTGAAATATGACTTCAAAATTCCTTAACTTTCCTAGCAGGATGACGGCGTTTTGCCACTGGTCACCAGGATTTCGTGTACTTTCTTGCCATACTTCAGTTAGTCCTTTATCTGTCTGAAATGAAAGAGGTTACATTAGGGACAAAATCAAATACATAATAATAGCAAAGGACAAACCTAGTTCATTTAGAATGGAAGTTTCTGGTCAGTGAATACTAGGGGGACAAAGAAAAAAAGACAGTAAAACTTTGGAAATTTGACAATATCTCTGTTAAGAGTTTAACTCTCCAAAACAGAGCACATCAATCCTCCAACATGCTTTCCAAAAACAACATTGGCAGGATTAGCAATTAACTTGTTTTGGTACTTTCACAGATATTGTTTTTATTACTACAGTGTACTTGGCAGTTCAATCCACCTGTCATTACACCTACACAGAATTCTTGGTATTGGATGGAATCTGAACCATTTATACAAGTCCTAGCTTGTAGTACTAAGTGTTCTTCCCACACTTTCTAATCATATTCTTATTTAGTGAGGTTGTAACTCCCTTCCCAGAATTTAAATCACCAACCTAGAGAAAGATAAGAGAGACAGGAAAAGGTAATCTACATGATCAACCTCACTTATTCCTGATGCGTATGATAAAGTAGATGAGTCATCTTTCCCATCACTGGGACAAAACATCCAATAACCACAGCTTGAGGATCCCAGGCTTATATGGCTCACTGTTCCTAGTGGGTTCAGTCCATGGTTTGTTAGTTCCAAGGCAGAGAAGTTCTGATAAAAGAGTACCGCAGAGGATATCTGCCCAAAGCATGGAAGCCCGGAAGCAGAGAGAGGAGGATGGGGACAGGGATAAGAATTCACCCTTCTGCGGCATACGCTCTGTATCCACCTCCGATGAGGGTCCACCTCCTAACAGCACACTGAGCTAGTTGGATTCGTCCACTGATGAGGAGGAGTGTCCACATGATCAAATCACTTTCCAAATGCATGTACCTTTCTGAGAAGTAGATGACTTAACGGATCATGATGATGGATATTTAGCAAAGAAAACGTGTGTGTGTGTGTGTGTGTGTGTGTGTGTATGTGTGTGTGTGTGTGTGTGTTATGGTTATTCCTTAAATCTTTAGTTTATCCATATTCCCCGGTGTTGGATCATTGTGTTTTCAGGATAAATTCAAAGTAAGATCCTTAACTTTAAAGCTTGCGATCAAACAGTGGAATTGAGAGTATTTAACAGAATAGTACGCAGAAAATCAAACAAGATGTTCAACTACTGTATATCTAAAATGTACCAATAAAGAAATAAAAAAGATGTTCTAACATATTTGTAACATATAGCCATGCTATGCATACTTTTCAGATATTTAAAAAAATGAGTTAAAGAAACAGAGAAATGTATGAAGATGGGGTATAGGAGATATTCATTCATAGTTTCATGTTTTGGGGGAATTAATGTTAATAAACATGGCTGATGTCTGGTGAGGCAGAAATTAGATATCTGATCAAGTGGTTCTTTGTGGGACTACAGGTGGCAAGTACAAGCATGTATTTTTAATCTAAAATTAACTTTGCAAAGACAACTAGCAGTTTACAGATAGATCTTTCAAAATTGTTTCAAACACAACAAATTTTAATATTCAGAGGTGTATGAGACTTCTGTAGTAAAGGGGATGGGAAATTCACACCTAATTAATCGAATGTTCTATCTTCCTGAGGACTAGAGAGACATCCCTTTCAAGGTTAGTCTTTGAGGCAGAGATGTTTTAGTGATTTGGTATCAAAGGAACTATTAGTTAAATTAAAGATTAAAGCAGAGGGGATCTGTCTGACACTCAACAATATTAGAGACATGGATATTGATGAAAGTCTGTCTTAATTTGCAAATTTTACTCATTTTTCTGATGCATTTGATTTTGCAACTTATAGACTCAATTATTAGCTATGCCAACTCCCCAAAGGATGTGCAACAAATGACATCAAAGAAGGTCATGGGGTCCCTTTAATCAATCAAATATGAAACATGTCTTGAATCTTCCTACTGGGTTTCTAGTTAAAAAAAAAAGACAAATAAAATATTCACTGGATTTTATGTTATAGAAAAAGAAAATAAGAGTGAATTATTTTGAAAACCAAGCATGATGAGACATTCTAACATATTTGGTCTTGTTCCCCATTGAATAAAACATCAATTCTTGGGCTGGGGATTTAGCTCAGTAGTTTTTCTGCCTTTCTTGCAAGCACAAGGGCCAGAGTTCGATCCCCAGTACCAAAAAACAAACAAACAAACAAACAAAACAAAACATCAATTCTTACCCCTATAACTATTAAAAGTATTCAGCCAAATATTATTAAAGATGTACTTTTCCTGCCCTTCACTTACCCATCCACTCATAAATTTATTCACCCAACGTTTAGTGCAAATATAGTACTAAGTTATAACGCTAGCAATTAGAGTGTAACAAGGTGAAAGGACTGAGCTATTCTGTGCTGGCAATAATCTAATGTAGAATTCATAAACATAAATTACTATGAAATCATTCTCTCTTCTCTCTTCCTCTCTTACACACACATTATTAATAAAGAGAATTTTAAAAGTGGTTATGGAATGAATTCCCAAATTTGTGTTCCATATATATTCTGATTTTACTTATTTACTTAATATTTTTACTTCAACTCTTCTTACATTAAGAAAACATCTCTCACTTTCAAATCATGACTTCACCATTGCTCAAGGATTTATGGAGATTGAAATCCAAGACCCTAAGTCAATAAATTCATGGGAAGCACATAACCAATTAAAAATAGACACTGATACAAAAGATGGCAAAATGATAGGAAACGGAGCCAGGGCTGTAGCTCAGTGGTAGAGTGTTTGCCTAGAATATGCAGGCCCTGGGTTCAAACCCCAGCACCACCAAGAAACAAACCAAAAGCCTAGAAACTAAACAAATAATTTTCATTGATTTCCCAAACGTTACCCTTTAATGACCCTTTATCTTATATGTTTGTATTGCATTTGCCTGGATGCTTCATTATCTCTTCTACTGAGTCACAGAAAGACAGAAAGAAAGACTAAAAAGATAGAGCCACTTCAAACTACAGAACATGGTGACTGATAGGTCCACTTGAAACTGCAGTGAGATATGACTGAAGTGAATGCATAAATGTATCTGACATAATTAACCATTTCCTTCAGACCATTTGCACACGACCTTTCTTCCTCCACTGATGTCATGTTTTGAACCTGTTTCTAGAGTTCCTATATCATCTCTAGCCAGCCATCAATGTCATACCCGTTAGGACATTATATTTTCCTCTTTCGGAAAGATTTTAGTGGTTTCTTCTTTATGTTCTTCCTGTCAGGAGCACCTGAAATCCCTACATATTATGTAAAGTATAATTACATAAAAATCTAAGGAGGTGCTGAGAAGTAGAGGGAAGAGGGTGGACTAAGGACCTCACGTCTTAAGGAAACACAAGGTGGCCTGATGTTTATTTTCTCATCCTGTCTCTTACGCTACGTATGAAAAATTAGCAACTTTGGTACTCTAGTAGGAACAAACTTCTCTCTCTAACCAAAACTGGGAAAGGATGAGTCTAGCAAGAAAGAAAATACCTAACAGTAATTGCTCCATGACAGCCAAACGTTACTCAGAAACCTGTCTGATTTCCACCTTCAACAGCAAAGGCTGAGCACAGAGCCGAGATTTTCACCCACATCAGGATACACCAGGTTCCCAAGACAGCTCCCAAGAGACCCTCAAATGAAGGAAAACAGATAATTTGTCAACATATTGTGGTCTTATCCTTTTCGGGTACTTGTCATTTCCTTCTGCCAAACCACTCTGTCTACAGTAAATCACACTCTTTTTGCTAACATTTATAGCACTTAATTGTTGTGTTAGGGATCAAACCCATGTCCTCATATATGCTAAACATGTGCTGTGCAGAGCTACAGCCCTAGCTGGTTGAAAACAGAGAGTATTTCAAGCCACATACATCTTTTTCCTGATATTAACCCCCCCAAAAATTATAGCACAGTATTTTAACTCCACCGGACTTCTTTTAAGAAGTCTAACCATGGAGAAAATCTGATAAACAGCACCAATCACAGTGCCTTCCATGCAGGATGTACTCAATAGATAACTCTAAGGAGGAATAATTACACTGTATCGCTGAGTATGTATGGAATTTGAAGTCATTTGTAGGTGTACATATTGTAAATTATGAAATATATTTTGATTTCCATTTTGAACTGTTGACAGGGGCTTTAACATAAATTTAAGAGACATAGAAGACATATGAAGAATGCATTTACTGAAATTTTATAGGAAAATATTATTTAGGAATTGACTTTTTCTCTTTAAATGTCACTTCGAGAATGTCACCTCTTCAGAACCTTCACAGTGGATTCCATTCTCTCTCTTATTACAGTGGTACATTTTAATTTTTAGGGCACATTTCACTTCTCACTTTCCAAAACCCTGTTAATTGTCTTCCCCACCACAATTCAAGGTCTAAGAGAACAGGAACATTCTCGATTTTATTCAACTTAGGATCTCCCATGCCTAAAATAGAGTTCAGCCTGCTGTAGGCACTAAGTATTTGTTTAACAAGTACCTGCATATTTAATTTCAACTTAGTGAATTAAGGTGCTGCATGGGATTGTTAACACTGGCTGGAAGTTGTTTTAAAATTTCCCTAAGCAAATATTAATATGTGATTCTGAAGGAGAATATTTTAATAGCAAAACACCTAGGAAATGTCACAATGTAAAATAACTTCTGCCCTTTGCTTTTAGTTCAGAATCAACCAGCAGGCATGGAGGCATCTAGTGTCCGTCCAACTTTTGTAAATGTAAAGAACCACTGTTAACCTTGCTGGCCAGACAGACCCCATTCCCCTGGGCTAGAATAGATAACTACATGAATTTTAAAGGTAACCTCCCCTAAGAAAAGAAGTGCTACATCCAGGTTGAAATTCAAATGCCTTGCCACCATGTTTTGAATATCAGCAGTGTGAACTGTGAAAACGAAATGTAACCACCTGAATGAGCAAGGCTGTATGTGCTGCATGGGATTGTTAACACTGGCTGGAAGTTGTTTT